TAGGGCTAGGGGGGAGGGGGCCGGTCCTCGGGGCGCGGAGCCTCGATGGTGAGGGGTAGGGGTAGGGGGGAGGGTGGGCTGGTCCTCGGGGTGCGGAGCCTCGATTGCCAGGGGTTGGGGTAGGGGGGGCTGGTCCTCGGGGCGCGGAGCCTCGAGGGCCAGGGGTAGGGGTATATTATTGATGTCTTCTGGTTTTCTATTGATAATATAACCATTCTTATTTTAAATTATTTTTTATGAGATATAATATTTCAAATATGTCAAATTTCTTCTAATAATTCCTTATTTTCATGAAAAAATTACTTTTTCTACAACTAAAATTTAATATTTGTTACAAAATAATAACTTATAACCTATTATTATTTAAAACGAGGCCCATTAAATTTGAGACCTAAAACACATGTGTTTTTTAACACCGTCAAAGCCAACCCTGAACATATCAAAAGAAATTTCACCAATGAAGTTTGAGAGGACAAAGTGCATATAATTGTACATAAATCTTATCATTATTTGTGAAAGTAAAAATATTATAAGCGAAAAACACAAGAAAAATAATTTAAAAAATGTAATATATTGTTTGATTTAAGTTATATATCTTCCAAAAATAAAAATAAAAATATATAATATAGTTTCTATTACAAACTTAATTTTGAAATCTCCTATTTTACTCGGCTACCATACAACTCAAGAGAAAGTGACCTTCTGCAATAACTGGGGACTGATATCTTATGATCTATCAGTTATACGCTTCTGCTTGGTGTTAGCTTTTAAGGGCTACAAAAATGGTGTTATTTCTCAAATGAATTGCCTTTCTTTCAAGGTCTTAATCTCTTTACCTATCTCCATTTTGTTCTTTTTCTTTTTTATTACACTGCCTGCGGTAGAAGTTCTGATGCACGGGGAATAGGTAGTGCGGTTTTCTATTTTGTTTTTGAAATTGTTCAAGATCGAATCTTTTGTTGTTGTATACCGATGTATAGAAAAATTACGACGACCCATTATGTGAAATTGTCATTCTTGATTGTTCTGGTAAACTTAATTGTATTTTTGTGCCGACCAATGTTATCAATTGTTAGACTTCGTTTGTTGTTTTGGTGTTTTGTTCCTGTAGTTAGATAGTCTGTGGTGATTCTTGAGAAATTGTAAATTGAAACTTGTTGGGAATTGCAGAAATTGAGGGCTTTCTGCTCATAGAGAAGCTGCAATACCAATGGGGGAGTTCGATGATGGAGAGTATGCAGGGATTAATGAGGTTACATCACCCAGAGAAAATAATGCTAGGAAAGTTTCAGTCTTGCCTTTACTTTTCCTCATTTTCTATGAGGTTTCTGGTGGTCCTTTTGGTGTTGAGGACACTGTGCGGGCAGCTGGTCCTCTTCTTGCTCTTTTGGGGTTCTTGGTTTTCCCATTCATATGGAGTGTCCCTGAGGCATTGATTACAGCTGAAATGGGCACCATGTTCCCTGAAAATGGTGGTTATGTTGTGTGGGTTTCATCGGCTTTAGGTCCTTATTGGGGCTTTCAGCTAGGTTGGATGAAATGGTTGAGTGGAGTCATTGACAATGCACTTTACCCTGTTTTGTTCTTGGATTATCTGAAATCAGCCATCCCTGCATTAGGTGGTGGGCTTCCTAGAGTACTAGCGGTTTTGGTCCTTACTGTGGTTCTTACTTACATGAACTACAGAGGCTTAACTATTGTAGGATGGGTTGCTGTTTCGCTTGGTATACTGTCAATTCTTCCTTTTGTGGTTATGGGGCTCATTTCGATTCCCAAATTAAGGCCTTCAAGATGGTTAGTGGTAGATGTACAAAGTGTTGATTGGAACTTGTATCTGAATACTCTCTTCTGGAATCTAAATTACTGGGACTCAATCAGTACTCTTGCTGGAGAAGTACATAACCCAAAGAAGACTCTACCTAAAGCTCTCTTTTATGCTGTTATTCTAGTTGTTCTGTCCTACTTTTTCCCTTTGTTAATTGGTACCGGAGCTATTCCTCTTGAGCATGACTTATGGACTGATGGCTATTTCTCTGATATTGCGAAAATACTGGGTGGAGTCTGGCTCAGAGTTTGGATTCAAGGGGCAGCTGCAGCGTCAAATATGGGAATGTTTGTGGCCGAGATGAGCAGCGACTCTTTTCAGTTACTTGGTATGGCAGAGAGGGGTTTGCTGCCTGAGTTCTTCTCTAAGAGATCTCGTTACGGAACTCCTTTATTTGGGATCCTCTTCTCAGCTTCTGGTGTGATTTTACTGTCATGGCTGAGCTTTCAAGAGATAGTAGCTGCAGAAAATTTCTTGTATTGCTTTGGCATGATCTTGGAATTTATAGCATTTGTATTGTTAAGGATGAAGTATCCCCATGCACCACGCCCGTTCAAGATACATGGGGGAACTGTTGGAGCCATCCTACTGTGTATACCTCCAACCATTCTCATATGTGTTGTTTTGGCCTTGTCTTCATTCAAAGTCATGGTTGTAAGCCTTGCCGCCGTTGCAATTGGTTTGGTGATGCAACCTTGTCTTAAGCTTATCGAGAATAAGAGATGGTTGAAGTTCTCTATTAGTTCTGATCTTCCTGATGATATTACAACACATGAACCTTTACTTCGTTGATTCCCTAATAAGTGCTTTATAAGGTACAACTACTCCACTAATCATGACATCAGTGATAATATGGAAGCTTTAAATGCAGAATTATCATGGAATGCATGAAAAACAGTGTGAAACCGGTAGAAGTGGTTGTCGAGGTTTGGATGAACCTTCTCTTTAAAAATCTTATCGAAGCTTCTAATCTTGTAAGCTTTATTTGCCTCGCTCTTGTACCTATTTTTTCAGTGTTTGTAGCTACAATTTCTAGAGCATCAATAGCAGAACAGGTTTATCGAAGGTTTAATGATCCTTTTTCTCTTTATGGATCTTATAGCGGTAGCTTCTACTTTTGTATTCTGTATTTCCCATCATTTGTGCCTATATATATTTGTGTCAAGTAGTATAATTGATGGTCATTCAGGAATGCTTCAGAAACATACGCTGATTTGTTTTTATGAAGTGACTTCATTACTTGTGTAATGCACATTGAGCTAATAACAATTATAATGGTGGAGCTGCAACTGAATCCGTAATGTTCACAAATGAAACCATGTCATATAAGTCTGAGCTCAGTATGTTTATTTCACAAGTGGACTTAGCTCGTTATAGAATGAGCCGAGTTTTCACAAGCTCTATTTAACTTGTTTATGGTTAGCAAAGGCTTGGCTATGTTAGATTTTTTATGCATTTTTTGACCTGGTAGGCAAGTTCTATTGGTCATGCTATTTAATCATGTAACAATGTTTTCCTATATTAGAAAAGTTATGGTCATTTAGAACGAGATGAGTGAGTCGAGCTCAATAAGAACTAAGTTCTCCATCGTGCTCAAGCAAATTACTTAATCGAACCAAGTTCCAGTTTGGAACTTGAACTTGTTATTAAACCAAACTAGCTGAGCATGTATTCTTCTGTCACTTTGCATTTATTTTCTTCGAAGGATAAGAAGAAGACATCAAGAAGTATTTTTGCATTCAAGGTTGAAGTCTTATCCAAATTAGTGGATCTTGCTACCAATCACGACTAGAGAATTTTAAATGAAGAAGGATTCAAGTTTCAACTAGAAATAAGGAAATTATTGATGGCAACAGCTTTGGCCCTAACCCTCCTGGTAGTCAAAAGAAGGTGCTGCAGTTCACCCCACGTAAAAGGTACATATTTTCTTGGATTAGAAACTGAATCAATAAGCTGTGGAGGGCATTCAATTGTTGCACTGCTTGTTGGATTCATGAAATATGCCATTGATAGCCTCTGCTTCTCCTTATTCACCACTGCCCAGTGTATAACACTCTTTAACCTTCCATTTGTCCAAACTTGCTTGAAATATAAGGGTGTATAATTACTCAATATACAAAAAACATGTGTTTGGGATGGCATATGTCAGATAGTTTTCTGATGAAACTTTTGAGTACTAAAGATAGGTAATAATGTCTAAATGCTGGTTGGAAGAAGTTATTGACATTAAAAGCTGAGATAGTCATAAGTAGTATGACTTCCAAGTTCCATCCATAAGTGAGGGCAAGCTATTTCATTTTCCCTTCAGATAGGAAGTGTTCTTGTGGGAGAACATGATCCAGTAACCTAACATCATCAAGTGACTTCCTAGTGAAACAGTTTCTTGAAAATGATTTTGTCATTCCAAACATCAAGAAAATTGCAGTTGATCATGTAGTAGTAATAATTATGATTTCTTCTTTTGATCCTTTGAGAAAGGAGGAGAGAATGACCTCAAGGGTGTCAGCAATATTGATGACAAATGAATTAGGAAGTAGTCTAAATCCAATCCATTGTTTGTCATTCTTGAGGACTTGGAATGCCACCAACCTGGTCTTGATACAATATGGTTAATGATTGGGAGTCTGAATAAATCCCTATGCCTACAATCTTCTCTGCAAGAGGACAAGGAGGATATCTCTGCTTATTCTAAAAATAGTAGCCTCCTTTTCTTCAAAGTTCTTGCTGAAGAAGTCATCTGCAAGGCCTAATCCATGAGCCAACATCTCCATTATAATCATCCCAAGCTTGTCCATTTCTTCCATGTACTCTATCATTGTGTTTCTGTTAATTTATCAGAGTTAAAAACAGCATTTTTGGTAAGATTTTTTTGTTTGAGACAAAGGTAGCCAAGCATATTTTTGGTAAGAATTTTGTAAACTTAAGTGTACTTTTTCTAACAACTTAAGCTTAGATGAACTGGTTACACAATTTAACATGATATTAATTATAGATTCAGGTCTTGAGTTCAAATCTCAAATCTCACAGCCACCCTTCATCAAAAAGAATTTGTATGCGCTTAGCTAGGGATGCAACCCTCCTGTACCGTGCTCATCCTAACCATTTTCGATATGGAGCATATATAAAAACTTTCAAGGTTGAATTAATCAAATTTAAATCTTGAATTCGTCTCCGTGCCTAGCCCATCAAAATGAACCAAACTCGCACGTTAAAGGACATATTGAAGTATTGTTATATATGTATCTAAATGTGTGTCATTGGTCATCATAGACCTTTTTTGCGAATTGGACAACTATTTCAGGTGACTGCAGTAGCTGCAAGATTTCAGCCCAAGGAAAGTTCTTCTCATAGTCGGGATTTGATGCGTAATACCCCAATGGGAAGCTTGATGTTTTGCCACCTTTGAGCTTTTGTTCCATGGGAAGATCAAAAAGCTCGTGCAAGCTACTGGTAAAATTCTCAACTATCTCACTAGGCACCCCATAGTCCATAAGCTTAAAGAATCCCCATTTTCTCTTGCTTTCACCATATCATGGCAGATAATTTTCCTAAAGTCTTGATTATTGTCCCAAATACAATTATAAAAACTAATCACTGAAATGTCTTGAATTTCATCTCCAAAATCATCATGCTTAAGTGAAGGCTGTTCTTCCTGAGATCATATGAAATTCTTGACTTGCATTTATTGCCATTCATTGAAAGTGTCTCAACATGCTCTTCTTCAATTCCAGGTGCCATTATTAGACTATAGATATTTTTGACATAGTGTGTTCTGTGTCTCTGTATATACAACCTCTTTTGGCCCTGCTACTTAATATATACAGAGTTTCAAGTTGTCCTTTTCGATATTTAAGAAAAGAAAAATGGTATATCTATTGCATTGTTCAGGCTTTTGTTTTCTTGTTGTTGCCACCAATTTACCCTAGGAAAGATCTCTAGGATTCTTTGGCACTATGTCACTTTGGAAAACATTCATTATTCATGACATGTAAATAAATTCATGTTTAAGCAAACAAACCTCTACCGAATCTCAACAAAAAGAACGAAACTTAAGAAAAGAAAAAAACATGAGCATAACAATGTTTTTGGAATTGAGGTACATCTGTAACAAAATAGTATATAGGCATGGCCTGTGAAATGTAAATGACTAGCTAAGAGGTCTTTACTAAATTTGAAATCCTTATCATAAATATAGGAACTATAATGCTTCGAAAATGCAATTTAATTATCAGTCTTTGTCCTGTTGATGAGATGCTTCAACATTCAAGTCAAAGGGTCTTGGCTCTTCACATTTCTTCGGGGAACTCTGTGTCTCCTCTGGCTGCAACAACAAATATCATGCCTTAGTTCCAAATGAATTGCAGTCGGTTATATGAATCCTTAATATCTGTCTACAGCATTAAGTTAAGATTAGGCATATAACTTTTTTTGTTTTTGTTTGTTTGGTTAGGATGGAGGAGGTTAGTTAGGATGAAAATAACCTCAAGAATTAGCTCAATATACCTTATCAGAAGCGGATGAACAGATGTCTTTTTGCAATCTCACTGAAGTATGGAACATCAATGTATTGTGCAATGTTATCTCTTTTGGTAGTGGAGAGCTAATGAGACGAAAACCATAGCTTTCTATCCAAGTCCCTATGCACTTTGATACTGATGGAATTACCAGCTTTTCTACCTTTAGAAAGCTAAGAGTCTGCAACAAATAGGATCATCAGCTCAAGTAGTTCTAAGAATTAACAAAAGAATTTAACTTTTGTACACTGGCAGTATAAAAGTTAGGTCATGTTAAAGATAAGTATAGGTAACCGTTCATTAACAATAGATTAGTGACCTCAATAATCAGAAATATATCGATAGTGTAAAAATGAGAAGACATTCTTACTGATTCAATGGCAACCATTAGTTTTTTGCACATTCCTTTTCTCCTATATTCCTTATTTGTCGCGATGAAGGGCATTTCAGCAAGGGTTTTTCCATGAATCCTGCGATATATTAACTAGATGATAAGCATTTAAAAAACACATACTTATGACTGATGATATCTGGTTTAAGAGAGATATATACCTTATGGTTGCTGCAGAAATGATCTCTTCATCCTTTTCTAAAATAAATGTGTGAAAGCCCCTGAAATTCACCCTGTTGAAATTTGACCTGCAAGAAGTTTTCATTAGGAAATAAGGAGGTTCATGTGTTTATTCTTCAGTGTAATGGTGTGATGAGAGATTGTAGATTACCCGCAGTTGTAGACCAGACTTTTGATGACATCAATTTCAGTATGCCTGTCTATAATTTCCTCGAAACAATCTTCCATAAGTCGTCGTGCCACGACTAGTTTGGAGTGACACACAGTTCTTTGATAATCGTCTTCTATATTCATTCCAGAGCCATTATCTGTGTTCTGAAGAAGTGTCCATTTGTAGCTTTTATCGAGCTCATGTTCAACACCAAGATAGCGCCTCTCCAATTTATCATAGATCTTCACAATGATTCAATTTAAAAACATCTTAGTTATCATTAGTAGTCTAATAAGCCTATAAGTCATTTCTAAGTACAAGGTCTGTATATTTCTAAGTCTAATGCAGAGACAGTAAATGTTATGTAATTTCTTCATTTGCCTAAGTCTAATAAGACAGAGTTGTCCGCTATTTGTGCTCGTAGCAGGTACTAGAGGAGTAATCAAGCTACACGCAAACTGATTTAGGCACCTCTTTTCACTCTGCTACAAAGAAAGAAACATTAAAATTAACTGCTTTAGGATAATGTGTATTACCTTTTTGCAGGTAAGGTCACAGAATGTGTCTTCTGGGGTCTCATTCATGTCTAAACTGACTGGTTCTCTGGCTTGACGGCACCCCCTGTGATCTGTACAATAGGAAAAAAATGTACTGTCTAAAATTGCAATTTCCTTAGAGGATAAGAGTTTGCAACATAGAACAAGAAACTCAAAAGGGTACAGACAGAAGCAAGAATATTTTTTTTATCTTCACTTACATTTTTTCTCACATTGTTGACATTTCTGCAAATAATCATTTTCATAAGCAGGATCACCACAGATTTTGCATACACAAAATGGGCAGTACCACGAACCATTAGGAACCTCCTGCAATTCAGAAACTCCACAATTTATTAGTCTCAGTATGATTTACCTAATTTAAGATAGTTATGTAGTAAAGGAGAGCCTTGTTGCAACGATAAGAGTTGCAGTCGTATGACTAGAAGGTCACAGGTTCAAGTTTCAGAAACAAAATTTGCAGAAATGCAACACAAGGTTGCATACAATAGATCCTATCCCCAAGCCTGCACATAGCAAGAGCTTAATGCAGACTGCATATGATATGTGATCCAACCCTTTCCCATTTCCGCGCACATAGTAAGAGCTTAGCTGATGTTTAAAGATAACTACAGTGAAATAGTGGAAGTGATCTATCACCTGCATTCCCAAGCATATCTTATGATGGTAAGTAGAGCTGCAGTTGTCACAACACATCAGGTTCCCTCCATCAGCACAAATCATGCAAGCATCATCGTACGAGTCACTAGCATCATGGCTGGTTTCAATTGAGTTAAACTGATGAAATTGACTTTCTTCTGGTAGATACCAAGCTTTAGCCATGGAAGACAATAGCGAACAACATGTTTCAGCAATGAGAATGTACTCGTAAGGTTTGCTAGTTGTTCCTCCCGCATGCTTATAGAAGTCTCCAACTGTAAGAACATTACAACAACAAGAACAGAGTATTCCTTCCTTCTTAATTTCCCCCATTTTCTTTGTTGTCTCCTCTTCTGTGACAACAACTTCTGCATTTTGTTGAATTACACCACAATCTAATAGCCATGTAAGTATTGTTGCTCTACTTTGTTTTTGACCATTTACTTTCCTTGTTCTACTTATTCCTGCTCTTTTCCTCTTACTCCGCCTATTTCTCTTCTTACTTGAACCAGAAGAATCTTCATTATCATCTGAAGAAAATGTTTCATCTTTAACATGTTGCTCTATCCTCGAATGCCGATTTCGTTTTCTGCTTCTCCCCATTGAAGAATTCTCAAGAGCTGTATCATCTTCAGTGAGATACCCTCTTATGGGGTTAGCCAAAAACTCTTCTTTAGCCTTTTTCTCAGGCAATTCTGCACCATATTGTAAGTCACTCATGTTGTATGAAGATTCTGAACTCCAAGAACTAGAACTGCTTCTCTGTCTTCTTGATCTTCTTCCTGCCATTTTTTCAATCATAAAAACAATCTTCTTTAGACTTCTTTTTTCCTCCTATTTATGAGAATGAAACAAATGGTGCTAAACTTATAAAAAGGTCAAATAATAGTTGTATACATTTTTTTCTAGAATAAGAAATGCATGCATAAAACATAATAAATGAGTGATTTGTTACTCTATTCACAATGATTCTTTTTGTTAATGCAATTTATGCAAAGTTTTTTTTAGAATGGTAACTAAAGAGGTTGATAGAGGGAGAGTAGATTTTCTTATCAAATGACATTATTACAAGTGTCAAGCTGGCTAATAATTTTATGCAAATTTGGCATAGCAAGTTTAAATAACCTATAATTTCTAAAATTCTAATAGGTTTGAGCAAATATATAAACTGGTTACATTTGTTTCTCTATTTCGATTCATTTGTTGGTTACGGACTTGAAAAATGCTCCAAAAATTTAATGGCATGTTTGGAAACTATGGTGTAATTATTAGATTGTGAAGCAGAAATTAGACCAATAGGGCACTGCTATCCGCCTGTCTTAACAACAACAAAAGTCCATAACTGAACGGTATAAACAACAATGTGAATCAAGTAGCCCTTTACCTTTAATGAATTCACATGTAGTCACTAGCTTTCCCGATTTGCTGTTTTTGCTTTGAATGAATTCAAACGTAGTCACCAGCTTCCCCAGTTCACTGCTTACTGCTCACAACACCGTTCGATCTATACTGCAATCAACAACAGAGTCAAATTAGGTCGGTCTTTTCTTGGAATGGATTCACACACAACACCAACTTTCCCAATCTGTTGCTTACTACTCACAACAACATTCGACCTATACTACAATCCATAACATTGCCGAATAAAACCACCATTTGACTTGAATCAATTCACACGAGAACACTGTTTTCTCAATCTATTGTTTATTATCTACAACAACATTCGATTTATACTATAGACAACAATAAAGCGAATCAAGCCGCCCTTTGCTTTAAATAAAACCACACGCAACTATCACTTTTCCGATCTGCCGCTTATGATTTACAGCAACATCCTACCGATATTACAGTCAAGTTATTTGCTTAATCTCATGTCCTTCTATTCATTCATTTCATAATTATACTATGTGATTACTATCAATTCTTTGCGCGCGGCGAAAATTGAAGACTGTAATTACTCTTTGTCAATCACAAGTTTCAAGAAAAACCCTAAGTGTTGGACCATTTGTTTTTGGGCTTAAACATGCTACTTATGGACCTATGTTTGTTTTTTTGGTATTTACTCTATAATTTGCTATTTACACCCTAATGTATATGCTATTTTGTGACTTATACCTCATTCTATTATTTTTAATGATTTGCACCCTAATTTCCTTGGTTCTTTTACAAAATCATAAAACAATTCACTTTTAATCATTTACAATGATAAAATAGTAAAATCAACAAATTATTATATTTATTAAAAATACAATATAATATGATTAGATTATTTTCTTCCTAACAACATAATTGGTTGTCAATGAGACGGTTTGGTCGGGTTTTCTTAAAAAATTATGTCATCTCAAAATTTTAGGTATTTTGTGATGTATAATTAAAATTATTTTTTTAAAAATCATTTCAATCATATCGGTTTCTTTCTGACACCGGTGCAATTAAAATAACATCTCAAAATATACTATTATTAAAATATTTCTTTCACAAATATGTTCGTGAAGAAGCACTTCAGTTCTTCACTTAGAAGACAAGAACGTCAAACCTTGTTGCCGTATTGGTGGATCTTAAACATTTAATAGGAGTGTTTGTATATGTTTGGGTATATTGTTTGATAGAGTATCTAGTATAATATCACTTATTTTTAAACCAAATCAATTAAAGATTAAAGAGCAAAGACCCAAAGTCGCTCAATCACTAGTCACCACTCACCAGAGGCTTAGGACCTAGGTTATATTTCCACAGTTCTATTGGAAAAATGACATAAATTTGTTGGGTTAAGTTCGTTTGTTTTTTCATATGCTTTTGACACCCCTAGTTCTGGTCTTAGTGCCTGTTTGGCTTAGCTTAAAAGCTGGTTTTTGACTTATTTAGTTGTTTGACAATACTCAAAACAACTTATTTTAAGTTTAAAAAAAACTTATTTTAAACTAAAAGTTAAAAGTTGGGGTAGGGATGCTTTTCTTTTTCCAGCTTATAAGCTGTTTTAAGTTGACCACATTTTTACCTTTTTGCCCTTAATATTTTATACAATCTCCAAATTACCCACATAACCCTAACATTTCTTTCTTCTATTTTTCCCTTTTCGCGTGTGGATGATAGAACAATTACTATTACTAATGAATGAAAATAAAATAAATCTTAAATCTTTTAAGTGATCTATTCAAATTATATTTATTAAATGTAAAATAAGTTGCACATATAACTTAAATAAAAATTTATATTCCTCTTATAAATAATTTGTGATAATAAAGAAATATGTGAATGATAGACAATTATTATTACCTATGGATGAAACTAAAATAAAATCTTAAATCGTTCTTTAATCTATTCAAATTATATATCTTTAAAATCTATAATAAGTTTATATTCCTCTTATAAATAATTTGTGATGAGAAAGAAATATGTGAATGATAGCAAAATATAATTATTTATGGCTGTAAAATATAAATTAATTAACTTTTATTATGTTAACAGCTTTTAAGGGTATTTCAGACATTTTGATTTAAAAAGCTGTTTATCAGCACTTATTTGTCAAACACATCAACAACTTTTTTTTAACTTTCAACACTTTTATCCAAACACATAACTGCTTATTTTAAAAATAAGTTTCAGCACTTTCAAAAGTACTTTTTAAAAGCTGTTTTTATTAAGCACATCCAAACGGACCCTTAGTTAATATATGTACAATGAGATATAAATCATAAAAAGTATGAAAGTTAAAATAAATATAAAAATTATATAATAATAAAATAAATATGTATTAAATAAATTTTAAAAATCATAAATAGAATATTTGATTGGTTTGATCTCGAATTGACTTTTACTAGTTAAAATCAAAGCAACTCACGTACAGTTAATTTTTTTCTCCAATATCAAATCAAGTCAAACAAAACTTATTAGTCCTTTTTTTCCGATTCAATTCAATTTGCAGTTTGGGGTTCGATTTTTGTTCATCGCCCCTAAAAATGTACTAAAAATGAATATTTTTTTTTCTTTTCATTTTAGTGGAAAAGAAGTGACAAATGACTTGTACATTTAATATTGTTTTTATTTTTCATTCAAATCACTTTTTATTTTTCTTTATATGTAATTTTCTATTTGATTCCTTTGTACATAGTTGAAACAAAATACCTTTTTATGATTTCAAAAAATAATAATGAGATTAGCTAGGAATGCAAATCATTAAAAATAATAGAATAAGTTATAAGTCATAAAACAACACAAGCCACATTATTAAACACATAAATAGCGTGTTATTTGGCAATACACTACTTTTTTTGAAGTTAAAATTTAATGTGTTAATGTACTCTTCTAAAGTTGTTCATTTATGATTTTTTAAGTGGCAAAAGAATGAATTTAAAAATACTGGATTAAAAGATCTAACTAGAAATTAGAATATTAACCATGTAACTAGTTAGAGGTGCATATATATAATTAATTTTCTAGTATAAATATAGAATTTACGAAAAAACTACTTGATTCGTCCGAATCCATGAAACCCTACCTTAGCTAGATGTGCCTCTGACTAGTTACATGGTTAATATTCTAATTATATATATATATATATATATAAAAATTATAATTTATATTTTATAATTTTTGTAATTGTTTTATCCTTATTTTTGTTTAATTTAGTAAAATTACAAATTTAAATTATCTAAACTACAATTTATTAGTATAACTTATAAATTATAACATATTAATAAGTAATAACTTATAAACTTCAAAAGGTTTAAATCTTGAAAACTTAATTAGACTTAACTTGCAAACTTAATAAGTAAAATTTTTAAAAGAAATATCTTTAAATAAACTTAAGCAAAAAATTACATTATAAATTTAAAAACTATTCATTTAAACTTAGAAATTTTTTTTTCATATTTTCGTAAGTCAAAACATTATTTTTTGAAATAGCTAGATGTGTCGTCCCATTTATCTCATCCCGTTCCATTCCGGTCCGTTCTGATTTGTTCCGATTCCATCATGGTTTATAGTTGGGACGGGACGAAACCGTGTATTCGTACCGGTAATTCTGGTCCGATTTATCCCGGTACCGCTCAACTCGTCCCGTTCAGGTCCGGTAGTTCGTGCCTATCCAGTGGTTATGTTCTAGTTCGTTGCCCAGTCTTAAGCTACCACGGACAAAAAGTCATATATTTACAGTGAACTGACTAACCCAAAATACAAAATGAGAGTCAATACAAAGAACAACATCGACAAGTCTCTGGACATCAAGAGCTCACCATTAGTGGCGAAATTAGAATTTTCAATAAGAGGGTTCAAAATCTGAAAAATAGACATGAAGTAGCTGAAGAGGTTGACATCTACAATATAAACCTAAAAAATTATTTTAAAAGCATATATAGAGGCGTCAAAAGAATAAGAAAAATCGACCAAAGCGATGGAACTCCTAGCAAAAAAAATAAATTAATAACCAAGTGGCTTCGCCCGGACTCAAACCGGAGACCTTTAGTGTGTTAGACTAACGTGATAACCAACTACACCACGAAACCTATTGTGGTCACTCTTTGAACTTATAAATACTAGTATTTAACAAGAAATTGAACATCACCACTTTTATCATTTTTTAAGTCTCTTAAATTCAAATTGCTAAATTTATTTTTCTGCATTCTCATTGAAGTTTAACACTTGGTGCCTTAGTTCTTTAAATGCCAATTTAGGTATGTCGGGAACTCAGATTAATAGTGAAATTATGATTTTTTTTATAAAGGAATATCAAAATATATAAGTATATATGAGAAACTAAAATTTCACACTTTCTAATTTTGAGGACGACTATGAGAAATTTAGTAGCAACTTTGAGGATTTCAATTGTGAGTATGAGCAAAAGGTTTGGGTCGCATTCTTGATCAATATATATATATTTTTTTTGAATTTGAAATTTTGTTTAAAGTATTTTTCTAAAAATTATTCATTTATGAGTGATATAATGATGATTTGATCTATTTCAAGTTAAGAAAAGGCACACTGAGATACAATTCACTTAAAGTTTCAAATGTTCTATAGCCAAACACCATATAAATAAGCAGATTTATGATAGTTATAATATAGAAGCCGTTATAAGAAGGAATCATATATGTTGATTGAGTTATAGTTCATTTTGTTCATATAAGGCATTATGTTATACTCCATAGTCCATATTATATAGTGTAGATTACAATTCATCGATAAATATTCTATAAATTTTTGTACTAAAAATTCTTAATGTTTATCTTTATATCTGATTCATTCAAATTTTTAAGTTTCTTTTTCACTTTACCAAAAAAAATAATACATGAGATATTATGTATTATTTATCACAAATAGTTTATTCATCATTTTATGTCGTATAAACAACTCATGCATAACTAGCATGTAAAACAAAATTATTAGCTCATTAATTTTATTCTAACAATATTTTTAAAAATTTCGAAAAATATAATTTCTCAAAGTGTCACTATGCATCCTTGACAAAATACCACCTTTGGCTTCTATGATAGGTTTTAAGACCATTTAGGACACACAAACTATCGACATGGCTTGTGGTGTATTGATGAAAGTATTTCACTCTTAATCAGAGATCTCGATTCGAGCCATGAGTATGGAGAAAATCCTATTGAAAATGTTATCCCTGAATTAACGTTGCAGGGAGCCGCCACTTTTGTACAGTGCATGATCCAAATTTAATTAAAAATTCAATATAAACTTAGGACATCGAGTTGAAAAAACAAAAGGACACACAATTAAGTTAGCAGGGTCAAAAAAAAATCATCTAATAAACGGATAAATAGAAAATTAGTGTGTCAATTTTTATCTTTTCATTTTTTCGATAGAGATGCCACCTTACTATTTTATTATTTTATACAAAACGTTTTAAATATTATTTTCACTAATTGATAATTAGAAAAGAGCAAATGAGGATAATTGTCAATTAAAGACTACAATAGTCATTACAAATATATTAGAATAATTAATATACTTGAGAAGTCGATTAATTTCTCCGGCAATGGTTGTTGCATTTGTAGCCATAGCTAAATCCGTCGGACAACAATGCTTGAAGCGATCAAAACCCTACTCCAACTCTTACTTCTCCGGCTATGGAGTCCAAACATGGCGGTTTCAGAGTCATAGAACACTAATCTTACAGTCGGCTTCTGAATCCGTCAAATTGGAAAGACTTTCCGATTCTGATTCCGGTAAGTCCACTTAATTGCTTCCTTTGTAGGTGTTAGTGGAATCGAACAACTTTTTTTTAATTTAAATTTTGTTATAGAGGCTTGGCGGGTGATTTACAGGGATTTTGGAGGTTAAATTGGATAGACCTGAGGCGAGAAATGCGATTGGGAAGGATATGCTTAGAGGATTACGGCAAGCATTTGAAGCTGTGAGTAATGAACGTTCAGCAAATGTTTTGATGATCTGCAGTTCGGTTCCTAAAGTGTTTTGTGCTGGAGCTGATTTGAAGGTACAACTGCTTCCCTTATGCTATGTTTTTTTAATTCGTGACAAAGGAAACCTGCAGGGTAAAACCCCGTTCCTATGCAATAACTCGCAAACTGCATAGGAGAGGTAACCTCTAGTGCAAGCCTAGTTGGACCCATAAGTCACATCCCTTGCTTTCGCTGGCAAGGGGTTTCGAACTTGAGAGCTCCAACATGGAAGTCCCAAGCTTAAATCACTGGGCCACCCTGAAGGGTAACAATGCTTATTTCTTGTGAACAAACTTGCAAATATTGCATCTTTCTTTCTGTGACATTTTTCAACCATGAAAATTGTGTGGTCAAGTCAAAAAGTGTAATTTAATATATAAAAGAAAGTCAGAAAGAATCCTATTTACAATATGATCAACAAAGAAAAAGTAACTAATAGTTGCTTTGGCACCCAAGGGTGTGGCTTAGTGGTTGAGAATCATGAGGTCTTAGGTTCAAACCTAGCACCGACAAAAGCACTAGGTGATTTCTCTGACCTGTCCTAGCCTTGGGGGGACAGAGTTGCCTGGTATCTGTTGCTGATGGGAGGTGATAGATATCTCGTGGAATTAGTCGAGGTGTGTGTAAGCTGACCCTAAAACGATGGTTATAAGAAAAGCTTGCTTTGGGAAGCACCTGGACTGTAAAGACTAAACACACCAAGTTTTAGAATAAGAAATCTTTTATCTGATTTCACATTTCATGTTAGCTGTTTTCGTGGGTTGTCTCTGTAGTGCCATGTTGTCTTCTGAAAGATAGCTTTTTTGTATAGCATGACATGTTGATAGAAAAAGCAATTAAATTTCATAAGCTAGGAGACATCTGCCGAACCTACAACTTTTTGCTTATTTGTATAGCATACCATATTGACAGAGAAAAAAAATGAAAACCACAATCTAGGAAACATCTGCCAAACATACAATTTTGATGTTGATAAGTCATTTATGTGATCCTTGCAGATGCGGTTTTCTTTGTGAGGATTGGATTTAGGATTAGTTTGTCATACGATTGACTAGGCTGATATTTGGTATCAGATGCTGATTTATGCACTACTGTAGTAGTGTTTCTACTGTTTGTTATTCATACTGTGTTTTGTACGTAGTGATGGCTAATTCACTTGATTGGCATTTGCTATGCAGGAACGAAAAACTATGATTCTTTCAGAAGTTCAGGTTTTTGTAAGCACTTTGCGATCAACATTTTCCTATTTGGAGGTATGTGACTTGTAATGCTGTTTCTTACTTTCTTTTAATATTATTAAAGGTCATAGAGTCGTAAAGCTCAAGAATTTATTTTTCTTTTTTTGGATGAAAAGAAGAGGTTATGAGTTTATGCATTCAAAATTATTGGTTCATGACATCATACTGTATCTCATTTCTTCTTCCTCACAAATTACTTAAACAGGCATAATATGAGCCAGTTCTACATATGCTCCTTTCTTTTCTCCTTTTAAGTAAATTTTCTTCTACTCAGAATCTTCATATCCCTACAATTGCTGCCATTGAGGGTATAGCATTGGGTGGGGGGCTTGAAATGGCAATGTCTTGTGATATCCGGATATGTGGTATGTTCTTCTTGTACTTCTGAGTTATGCCATATATTCTCTTTCTTTTTCTCTAGTTTAATGATCTGTTACTCAGGTGAAGATGCAGTGATGGGCTTACCTGAAACAGGGCTTGCTATAATACCAGGGTATGCTCAATCACACTGTATATGTTTGCTTATACAAAATTCGTAAATTCGGTCAAGGATGTGTTATGTTCTAATTCTAGCGAGTCAGCTGGATATTTCCACTATCTTGCAGTCACTTCATCATTTGTACTATTCATTAGTTCCCAACTTCAGAAGTTGCTTTAAATATTCTTCATGCTAAGATGTTTTCTTAATGCTACCCTCTTATTCCATATTGTACTTTACAGAGCAGGAGGAACACAACGGCTTCCTAGACTGGTTGGAAAATCAATTGCAAAAGATATAATATTTACTGGACGAAAGATAAGTGGGAAAGATGCTAGATCAATTGGTACGTGTATGACTTGTCACAGCTCATTTGTTAAGAGTCAGAGCTCCTCTGTCTTTCGCAAACTCCCCCCTCTTCTCTCTCTGTCTTATCAATACAAAAATGAAGGTGATGTCTGCAAACCCCTCGACAACTCCATTAGGTTACCTGCATGCTCCCACGATACAGGTGGATAACAGCATCCGCCAAGGTTTAGGCAGGACTAAACTTTTTTGCCTATGCTGGAATTTTGGATCCTGGTCTCCACTCTCCGATGGTTTTCTTTACCAGGTTTTTAGAATGAAAATTACATGTCATGCAGGGCTTGTCAATTACTGTGTTCCTGCTGGTGAGGCTCGTCTCAAGGCACTTGAACTTGCTAGGGATATTAATCAGAAGGTTAGACATTAGTTATTGAGATAAATCATGTTTGATGTATTTATCCAGTGTGGCACCCTTTATGACTTCCATAGAAATTTAGTCAGGAACTAAGGAGAGAAAAAAAGAACCATAAAAGGACTACACCACTTCCTATATATGAAAAAGATATCCACACTATTACTATACACAGACAATTGCCAGTAATCTAAAGATTCATAAGAAGTAATTCTGGCATGAGTACTTTTTTGTATCCTTTTGACTTTTTATGAGGGTAACACCCTTCAAGGCCATCAAGTATGTTTCTCCGCTGCTCTTTCTTTCCTTTTGTGCATTTTTGAATTATATGAAAGCTCTTCTTTGGAGTTTCATCAACTTCCTTGGACCATTAAGATAATGGCATTTACTAATCCTATGCTTGTTTGTTTTCCTCTTTGTGCACCTGCATTTTTTGTGACAGATTTTCTTTCTGCCTTTGTCGTTTTCCTTTTTCCCATCTTTTTTTATCTTAGGCGGGCGCTCATTTGTTATACCAATAGTTGGTTGCTTTGGATTTCTTTGTTGTTTTCCCCTTTTTTTTCAATGCTTAGCTATTTTTGGCAAGTTCACATAGCCAACAAGTATTGCTCTATTGTTCTTTCCTTTTTCTTCCTTTTTGATGCATTTTATAAGTTTTCTTCATGCGAGCTGAAACCTCTGTTTCATGAGCTTCTGAATATTTCTTGAAATGATTTTGAGTTTGGATTAGGGAGCTAAGTGTCACGGTCTGTGAAGTGGCGGGACTTGACATAAGGCTGAGTAAAAGAACCAAGTCATTTCCACATTTAATGATTTCGTTATGTATAGAACCTTCTTTATCCTTTTCCTTTTCCCCTTATAACCTATATATGCTCTTCTAGTCCCAAGTTGAATGGCCATGCGTTCGATGAAGTGTTTGACGTATAAATCTGTGACAGGGTCCCCTTGCTTTGAGGATGGCAAAACGTGCTATTGACCAAGGAGTGGAGCTAGATGTAGAATCAGGTTTAGCTTTGGAGTGGGATTGCTATGAACAACTGTTAGACACAAAAGATCGCGTAGAAGGCCTTGCTGCATTTGCTGAGAGGAGAAAACCTCTGTATAAGGGTGAATGAAAAGATTGTAACTCACCCAAAATATCGATTAACTTATCATTCATAACGAAAACCGAAATAAAGTACTCCAATTATATATCTAATTCATCATGATTCATTTCTTAGTTTTTGGCCATTGCGTCTTTGCTTATAACATAGCACTGTTTTTTTCTCTTGTCAAAGCAAGCTTCTATAAATAAATCCCTTAAAAAACAGAACAACATTCCAGAGGTCTTTATTTCCATTTTGAATACTTTTGATGATTCTCCAATTAATAGGGCATTTTCAAAGGAAAATATATATAAGAAATGGTCCTGCCAGATTAATCGGATACTAATAAATGAGCAATAATTTTATATAAAATTAAACTGTGTCACGTAGCTTAAATTTTTGGCTACATATATATAGTTTGTCTAAAAGAGTAACACGTGTAATGAGTAAATTTTTAGCTTTGCAAAACGTATATATAAAGAAGAAACCGCTTCAGAGTTCACACAGTATACGTTACGTCTTCTTCCTAAACAGAGCTAAGAAAAGTAGAAGGAATCCATGGCCGACATTGCTAAGAAATGGCTTCCTCTTGAAGCTAATCCTGATGTCATGAATCAGGTATCACTTTTTAATTTTTGTATCTTATTTACTTTTTTTCCAATCTGTTCGATATTTTCATTTCCTCGACTTAAATCTTTTCTGGGTTTCATTTGGTAGAAAAAACATGGAGTTCGCTGATTTTTTTCCTCAATTCGTCATGCATTATAGAATTCATTGAATTAGCTTCCAAATATATTGATTTCCGTATGAAATTTTTTATCACATTTATTAAGTTGATCAGCTCAAGTGTTAATTGGAATGATTAGGGTAAGTTTCTTTCACCTTTGTCAGCTGATTGATCTCTTCTTTTCCGAAATGAACCTATTTAGTGTAATTTTACAACAACAATAACAACACAGCTAGTATTATCACACAAAGTGGGGTCTGGGGAGGTCACAGTGTACGTAAATCTTACCCCTACCTTGGATGGACGTAGAGAGGCAGTTTATGGAGAACCTTAGCTCGAGAAATAGAGATAATGTATTTATTAACTCTATTTTGTTGTATGTTTTTTTTTTTGCTTAATTGAGCAGTTTCTTTGGAGTCGTGGTGTTCCACCGGATGAGGTAGAGTGCTATGATGTTTATGGGTTGGATGAAGAACTTTTGGGAATGGTGCCCAAGCCGGTCCTTGCTGTTTTGTTTCTCTATCCTCTAACATCACAGGTTTGTTGTAACAAAGAAATAAGATTTGATTTTCTAGTTTGATGCTAGTTCATTAATTACATGCCATGTGTTTTCAGAGTGAAGCAGAGAGAGTACAGCAAGACAGTGAAATAAAGGTATCTTTCATGAGCTCATGACCATATCTTTATGAACTATATCTTGTTGTTAGATTATGACTGCAGTGCTTCCATCACCACCCTTTGATTTTTCTTACTGGTGAATGCTGTATTTACAGAATTCGGGAACTTCATGCCACTTCGATCTGTTCATATTTCGATTTGACACACGTTAAGTTATTATGCCAATAACAATTATTTGGTTGGCCATGTTGTGATATCTCTTAATACTGAATGTTGCTGTTCTGAGTTGGTGGTTACTTGATAATGTCTTTGCATCTGCTTCTCTGTTGTGTAGATCATCATGTAACATTGTCATCTTTAATCCTCTTGGACAGATTTTAGTTTAATTGGAAGCTTTACTTGCTGGCTGAGTAGGCAGTTGTCCTGGATGACCTTCTATTCTAGATGTAGGGGAGCCTACATTCTCAGTATCTTTTTTTTATGGAGTACGTGATATTGATAAAAAGCATCAAGAAGATGCAACAGTTACTAGATATGGCAACTGAGCTTACAGAAAATGACAGGTTGGCCGAACAAATTCTACCTAAGCCAGAACTAGAGAGCTAATAAAGTCCAGTAGATGTTCAGCATTAATATCAGAATGCAAAGTGGACCAGATAAACATATTAGAAATACACCTAGCCTTCAAAACACCTAAAGGAGTTGACTCCCCATCAAAACATCCCCTTTTCCTCTCTAACCAGATACTTGAAAAAATACAAGCAGGAACCATGTTCCAGATCTTCTTGATGGCTTTTTCAACTCTCCATTGGCTCCAACTCTCATAAGCATCCTTAACTGAAATGGGGTGTGGTCCATTTGAGACCAAAGAGACAAAAAAACATGTTCCATATGTCTGAGGCCACCTCATAGTGAAGGAATAGTTGTCCGTTACTTCCACCCTCCTTTCTACACATGTAGTATCTGCTTGGGAGTTGGATCTTACCCTATTTATTTTTGTTGCTTCTATAAATTGTTGATCAGTTCTTCTAAGTTGTACTTTATCTGAATCAGCTACTATTTCATCCCACTTGAATGAGTTGGTAAACATTGCAATATGATAAATATTTGGAGCTAAACTGGATTTCAAGGATCTGTCACATAAATGCAATCATCAATTCATCATTCTCTTCTCTGAAAATATTTCCTCGACATCCTTATCAAATTCTTCCTCCCCTTTTTTGACTGAGTGTTATTGCACCGTACGAGTGTGGTAACTGTTATATGTATCTTATCCTGTTTGCTGCATAATTTCGAATTAGGAATTATTCATGAGAGTTGAGTGCAGGTGAAGGACCCCACCAGTACCATTTACTTCATGAAACAAACAGTGGGAAATGCATGTGGAACAATTGGTCTACTTCATGCTATTGGGAATATTACCTCAGAGATAAAACTTGGTAGGTCATTTTAACTTTCTTGCATGTTAATATCTATTGTTTGCATCATATATAGAGTACTACCAAGACAAGTGCATTGAATTGCTTATAATCACTTTGTGTTCTCTTAACTGGGAAGTTACCTAATATATTGATTTTTGCTTTTCAAGGGTCATCTGTAAGAGTTGTGTAGTGAGGAACTGGGTTTCTTGGTTACATAACAACTTATTCTCAAGAATGTATTATTTGAAAATGACCTTTACATTTTTAGTCAATCAATCAACTGTAGCTGTATCCTGTGTTAGTTGGAAATCTGGAATCAACTATATGAATCTTTTATATTGATCCTACTATGTTCAGGTTCATGTTGTTCCAATTTCTTTTTCTTAACCATAAAATTCCCTGGGGCCAGTTGGGTCGAAGTTCGATATTTTGTGGATAATGGGCCCGTCCTTCTATCCTTCTCTTAAATACCAGCTTTTCTTTGCGGCAGTTCGAAATCATGATTCCAATTAATAATTTTTTCTTTAAGGTGAATTATAAGTCTCACTTAACAGAATATAGGTGTACAAGGCTACAACTGAATAATAAGTCACCATTTTTGGTACCATAACCATATTCCCAATTTAGTTGTTAGAAACCGCTATATTCTCTCCTCATGTCTGTTTGGACTTCCCTATTAGAGATATGTCGGTAAAGATCCCTTGGACCAGGATATCCATATCTTCCTAGAATCTAGTTTTAGTTTCCTTATTTAATCTTGTTTACTGAACATAAGAATGGTGTTGATGATCTCATTTTCCCATACTAGTCTTAATATAAGATAATCTATCATCAATTTCTTTTACTCGTGCAACTCCACCTCTAAGTCTAGTTCCACATGATTCCTACCTCATTCCTGTTCCAATCTGTCTCACGATGCCAATACTTCTTTATGTGCTCTAGATGAGGGCTCATTTTTGGACAAGTTCTTTAAATCAACTGCATGCATGGACCCGATGGAGGTATTTATTTTGGTTTAGTTTCATTTTGGTTACTGACATAATATTTCCTAGTATTCACGAAGCTCATTAGCATGCGCATAAAATGTAGCGTGCTTCATTCCTTGAAAGTGATACAGAAATAGAGGTTGCTCATTCAGTAGCAGCTACTGCTGGTGACACTGAGGTAAGAGTTCACATGTCTTCTTATTTTTCTAGATAAATAATGTAGTGAAGATGCGACCAATTGTAGATAAAAAATGATAGTTTTCTTTTCATGTAAACCTGTTGCATATTCTTTGGAAAAAATATACTTGTTCTTGTGCGATTTGAACCTTTTGACTAGTTTGGAGTCTGATAAAATGTAGTGCCTCAATATCCATTGGCCTAGAGAAAGTGTATGTTTCAACTGTTGTTAATGTGATTAATAGACAAGCCGAATATGGCGAATTCTACAAATAGCTTTATCAAAACTATTATTGGTGCATACTGAAGCAACTGAACCTGCATAAGATGCAATTGAAATTTGACTTTGTTTCTAGTTAATTTAAGGGCCTTCACATTGATTTTGCTTAGACATTCAAAACTTGGCTGTATTATTTCCACAATTGGGAAATTACTGCATCAGTATGTAGTTCAAAAGATTTTGCCATGGTAAACAAACAACTGAGGATAGTCTGCAATTCTAGAAGGTGGTTGAGGACCAATAAAGAAATGTGTTAATGTTCTTGCAAAAAGAAGATTCTTCAAGTGTAGTTGCAAATATTTGATCAACAATGAGGTGATTCTCATGCTAAATGTAATTCTTGAGAAGTTATTTTAAGTGCACACCATTACCGAATTAAACACAAATGGTTGGACCTTGAAATCTAGGGACAGAGATATGTGTTAATACCATCTTGGAATTTGGATTACTTGACAGCACTTCTTTTTTCTATTTCCTATATACTTGCGTCCTGTGATATTGAAATTGATTTGAATAAATAGAATTAATATTGTGTTTTAGTTTTGTTGATCTGCTTATTACTTGGCTTCTCTTATCAAAGCTATGGATTATGGAATATGTAAATTTTCTCTGCTTTTGACAGTTCCGGCTGTTGAGGCTCTGTTATAACATCTTTGCAGTATACTGGTCAATTCTTGCCATGCCCTGTAGTTTCAACTTACTGTCTCCATGTCCTTGCCTTGTCCATCACAGACACGACTTATGTCTTTGTATATCAGCTAGAAAGTCCAGGTTTATTTGCAAAGTGCACCTCATAGAACTTGACGCCTTCGTTCGTGCGAGCCTGCGAGGAAGCACTTCCATGCTCAAGTTTTTGAACAAAATTTAACTGCACAATAGTTAGTCTTTTTAAACTTTGGTTACA